ATGGATGGATGGATGCTCCATATATAGTTTATATTTCAATAAAATTTTAATTCAGTTTATTTCTATAGGGCCAATTCACAACACGCATCTCAAGGCACTTTAAAGTTCACCAGATTATACAGTTTAAATTATTGTTTTTTTCTTTTAAATTCCAGGATTTTTCCACTTTTCAAGAAAGTTTGTAGATGTTCTGCTGCTAAAAACCGTTTTGTTTGTTTCTGTTATTTTCAAACAGGGTCTGATTTAATCAATATTTATTACTAAAGAAACATAATAGTAACATTTTTACATCTTTTTTTTCTGGGAAAGGCACCGAGGTGCGACCTTTAAGTAGAATTTAGGTTTTCTATCAAAAGCAAATAAAAAAAAATCTATTAGTTCATTTGGAAACTATCTGTTCACTCTACTAGTAATGCTGCGGCTCTTAATGGTGAATAATTTCCGATTAATTCTGATTTATTTTTATTTTTCCAGCGCCAGATTTGGCGCCACGCTGGTTTAGACGCGTGACAACATCTCGGGTACGTAACGGGAATTCCACGCAGCGCTTTTCCACCCGAGAGATGGAGACAGTTATACAGTCAGTGAACGCGTCTCCATAGTTTAAGAACACCAAACAAACACTTTATCTGAGAAAAAAAAGACTGTTTAGACACAGAGGGTGGCAGAGAGACACATTAACTGACAGTGAAAAGATCCCTGAAGAAAGAAGAGTTCCAGCAAACACTCACCCTCCGTGGGAGACACGTCCAGCACGGTGACCAAGAAGGAGGTTAAACACGGGAATCAGTAGAGGGAGAAGGTTCAGTCTGTGCAGCGCAGAGGAACCAGAGCCCGGAGCGGACAGCCTCAGCAGCAGCCAGTCAGTCAGCCAGCCCAGGCCAGGTCCTGGAAGATCAGCCAGTCTGGTGCTGCGTTCACGGACACATAAACAGGCAGGAAATAGTGGAACTGCTATATCAGGTCTCTGAAAGCTCCTTTGAGATTATTTGGCACAAATGGGGATGGGCGGCTTTTAAATATTGCAGCTGTCTGACGTAGGCTACATTGTAGGAAAACCTATGAGGACTGTTGCACAGAGACGTAGCCAGATTTTTTTTTATAAGGGTTTTTATTGATTTTTATTGAGGGGGGGCAGAAAGTGGATCGGCACCAGAACCTCACGGTCAATCTATACTGTTACAACAGGAAAAATAACCAGCATCCATCCATTTTCTTACACGCTTAATACTAAGTCCGGGTTCGAGGTGTGCTGGTGCCTATCTCCAGCTGTCTACGGGCAAGAGGTGGGGTACACCCTGGACAGGTCGCCAGTCCATCGCTGGGCAACACAGAGACAAACAGGACAAACAACCATTCACACACACATTCACACCTAAGGAGAATTTAGATAAGCCAATTAACATAACAGGACTGTGGGAGGAAGCCGGAGTACCCGGAGAGAACCCACACATGCTCAGAGAGAACATGCAAACTCTATGCAGAAAGACCCTGGGCCGGGAATCAATCCCGCAACCTTCTTGCTGCAAGGCAGCAGTGCTACCTACGTGCAAAGCATCCATATTTTCTACATTAAGACTAATTATACTTTCCTACAGCCTTTGCTAACAAATAGACATACTGTATATTTAAACATCCGTAATTTCTAGATAAAAGGTATAGTGGATAAAACTCAGTTTTAAGTTCTGGGGCGTAAATCAATCATCATTGTCATTACCCACCTAGTTGTATTAATAAACATTCTGCATAAAATCGATAGTTACAAGCACTAATATCTACATAAATTGATTATTATTTATTTTTTATTTCACTGAAGACTCCTAGATGATTTGCAGAGACACGTATTTTTCTCTTTACCCCATATAACACAAAATATATCTCTGAAAAGAGCATTAATTCTGTACTTATCATCTTTGATGTTAAGTACAGAAAATGTTTTGAATATTCCTCTTGAGAGTATTACTGCTGCCACCATCTAAATTAGAGGGAACCAAATGGTAATGGTGGCCACAGGGGTGGCCAATGATTAGCTAAGGGTGCCCATGGCCACCCCTGGCCCCCAAACTAGCTCCACCTCTGCTGTTGCAATAATCGATTCTACTAAAGATACATTTATGAGCAATATCTTGCAACGACGGTTGGTTTGCAAGTTATATTAAATATGATGTCTGTATGTAAATCAGAATACACATGCATATAAATATGCACCAAACCATGCGTTGTTGCCTTTTTGCTTGTTTTTTTCTCTAAAACTGATGTAATTTTGGTTTTACAAATGCAGTAACCTCGAAACATCTGAGGCATGCTTTAATGCATGCTTTAATGCAGAAACTTTTTTTTTAAGCTAGTATGAAAGGTGGACGTTAGTGGCTCTCTTTTTAATTATCTAAAAGTAAGAATGCAAAAAAAAAAAAAAAACGACTTTTTTACACATTTATGCGAAATTTGTTAAAAATCCTATTGGGAAGACTCCACCGGCATCGTGCAGTTCTTATGATTGAATTATTCCCACTTTACCTGAACTCATCACATGGTGACAGACGTGTCGTGCGGTGAGTCACAGCTGACTCAGACTTTCGTGTCCCGCCTACACAGGACGGGGGCAGCCAATAGAGGCTGTGCAGGAAGCATGCAGCGGTGAGCTGTCACGCAGCCCTCCGCACGGTCCCTGTGTGTTCAGGGATGCCAAAAGTCATGCCTGTAAGAGAAAATTAGTAGCTTAGTAGATAGAGCTATTCATTTTACACAATCACACAAAACACCACTGGAGTTCTTCTCCGCCTTTGATGAACCAAAGGGGGAGCAGGGGGGCTTAGTATTGATTATTATTCCTAAAAGAATCAAACATCTCACAGTTTAAAAACTATCATGCATGGTGGTGGCAGCATAATGCTGTGGAGCTTAGAATTGATACAAAAGAGTAGCCAAGGACCATCAAATCAGCAGCTGACCTGGAAACATCCTCATAGCCCCAATGTCACTATAGGGCAAATATATGATGAAATAATGCCTTTAGTACTGCATGGGTATAAATGAGTTATGAAGCAAATCTATCTGTAGCATAGAGATAGATTTAGTCACATCTGTGGTTCGGCATCTTTTCAGTCTTCCATAACCTTGAATCAGGAGGATATTTACCTTCCTTAGAATGTATTTCTACTGTTTGGGTGTGAACTTTTTCCAACAAAGTCACTTGTCTCCAACATGCATGTTTTACTTTAGCGTTCATGTGATTTCCTTGAGCTGATGTGTGCTCTTAATGTAGTTAAAGTTAGGAGGACAGTATTAGGAATGTGGTCATAATGTTATGCCATGTTTGTGTGCATGCTTAGAGTGAAATAAACTGGAAATTTCTTATAGATCATTATTGCCATAACTGGTCTGTCCCTCTGTTCTTTGTAGGATTTGGATGCTGCCCTCAGGTGGACACCCAAGGGTATTACAACCCTGACATCATTTAAATAATCACTAGTAATCACATGTGGATATTTGTTTCTTACACTTTTATAATTTATTAAATGTTTGAAAAATAAAAATGTTGAATTACAATCCAATTAAGCTAATGGTGATCATTTCTGTTCAGTTAGTTTCAATGCTGTATTTATACATAATTCTAGAGTTTGACTGATATTATTTAGGTTATTAAAATAATACAAATCCCAAAGTGCAACATAGTAAATTAGGTAAAGAAGATAAAAGAAAAAAGGCAAAAAATCTAGGAAGTTTAAGTTTGTGAATATTTTTAATAGGTTGATGAACATTAAGTAATCTGGGAAATGGTGTTAAAATCAGTGAAGTAATTGCGGTCAGTTTAATGAGGTGAACACAGATGTATTAATTAAAACAAAGGGGATGTGGCGGCCCAGTGGTTAGGGCATAGAGCATGGAATCCTGAGGTTCTGAGTTCGAGCCCCACTCCCACAGACTGCCACTCTGGGTCTATGAGCAAGACCCTTAACCCCACACTGCTTCCCGGTGCCACACAATGGCAGCCCACTGCTCCCCAAGGAGATGGGTTAAATGTGGAGATAAATTTCTCCAATTTGAGAACAATAAAGTTGAATTATTATCATTAAAGCTCAACAGATAAGGCGGGAATTGCCTGATTTAGCTACGGTTGTTACAATTATTAGACTTAGGCAAACGTTATTGTCATTTTGTATACACAGAGTGTATAATAATCAAAATTACGGTTTTTTACAGATTTAATGACAATCCCATTTCTTAAGTGCAGCAGTGATCAAATGTAAACATTGGGAGAGCTATTCAATGGCATCCTAATAATCATTGTGAACACAGTACAACATATGTCTCCTTACTGGAAATTGTTGACATAGGAACAAGTAAAAAGAGCAAAGGATCTTTTTTAATCTATGTTCTGCTGTCAAAATTAATATCGAGACAAGTCTCAAAACGTTTGTTACTGATTTTCTCATTCCTCTGCTTCCTCTTTCTTCTTTCCATACATCTACAGGATGGTGTTGTCTCCTCTCCAGATCCTTTAGCAGAATTTTCAACTTTCACTTTCTCCTCTATCACATTGTTTTGATTTGTAAACCCAACCAGTCATCACTGCTATCACTGAGTGATTTTTGTCCAAACTGGTGATCTTAAGCAGTAAATGAGCTACTACTGTCATAATGGGCTTTAAAGATCTGACCCACATGCAGAGAACCACTCAGAGACCAAGGGTAAAAGTTTAACAGGTTTATTGTTAGTTTGCAAATACTGATGGAGATGAAACTCTGTGGGGAAACAATGCTGGAATTCAGCGGACTGGTGAACCAGAACCGGAAACTCTGAAGGGGAGATAACAGTGATCAGTTCAGGGACAGTGGGAAAATAGACTGAGGCTTGAGTATTGCTGGAGAGGCACTCACTTTTAGGGGGCTCTTGGTTTATGCTTGGATCCAGTTTGTGGAGATTTAATCAGGAGAAGAGGGAACTCGTTGGAGAGCAGACAGGCAGACAGACGTTGGACCCAGACGAGTAAAGGAGCGGACTGTCACTTGGTTTTCAAGGAGTGGACTTGAACGGATCATGTGGAGGTTTTCCCCTTGCTCAGTGAGACTCAGTAAATCCTTCCAGGGGTAGAAGGTCCAGGCTTATCCAGTAACACAGGAAGTCTTTCTGCCGAAGAACAAAGACAAAAAAGAAGTTCAGACTCAGAGAAACAATGCTATGGTTAGACTCTCCTAATCTCAGTTAGGCTAGAGTACCCAATACTGGCAAACACTCTGGCATCGAGGTGGTGACAGCCCGCTGCTCAAATACTCCTTTGGTAATGACCCAACGAGCCGCAGGTGTGCAGGGAGGCCCAACGAGGACAGGGCACCGCCTGGTGGTGGAGAGAGGAAAACAAAAAACAACCCACACAATCTGGAATCCTAACAACTACCCCTTTTTCTTAACTTCCTCTAACAAGTGACTGTGCTCTCCTTTAAGTTTTTCAGTTCAGCGTGCTCCCTTCCCGCTCTAGTCCTCTAGTTTCTCTCTCTTGTGTTTCTCGGTTTGTAGCAGTAGCGGCAGAGTGGCTGAGGTAACACTCTGACTGAGCTCCTGGTTCCTAGTCTCCGCCTCCTGAAATAGTTTGGGTCTGCCTGAGCAAGGCAGTCCACCAAAGGGGTGATACCAGACCAGGGACAAAGAAGGCTTTTGGCATCTGGGAGCTCTGCCTTCTACACTTTGTGCAGAATTATTAGGCAAGTTGTATTTTTGAGGATTATTTTTGTTATTGGGCCACAATTGTGTTCTCAATCAACCCAAAAGACTCCTTAATATCTGAGTTTCAGATTTTTGGAAGTTGTTGTGTTTTTTATTTATTTTTTTATTTTTTTAGATTTGGCCATTTTATGAGTATGTCTGTGTGTGCAAGTAAATATTACTGTGCAGAGTTATTAGGCAACGTAATAAACAAATATATACCCATCTGACTTGTTTATTTTCACCAGATAAACCAATAAAACAACTCAAGATCTGTGTTATTTACTTTGTGGTTGCCTTTTTTGGAAACAGGAAGGAGCAATAAGCTAAGTGAGCTTAGTACTTGGGAAAAATCTTTTATTCCTTTTGATACAGCATGAAAAGTCAGCTGAGTACAAAACATAGAGAGGAAAACAACAAGAAATGGGACAAGAGAGGGGAAAAAAAAACATAGAACAAATAATGTCTATTCTATTAAAACTTATGTGTCTCTATATTGGGTCTATTTTATGTGTCGTCTTCTCAGTTCAGAGGGCCCCCTGCCTGTCTTTGCGCAGGGCCCCAAATGTCCTAAATCCGCCCCTGCTGAGGTGTTAAGGTTGGCTCCACCTGCTGCCCTCTTAACTAAATCAAAGCTCCTTAAGTCCAGCAGTTCTGCTTCTTCGTCTCAGCCAGGATGAGCTTCGGAGACCGCTACACCGTGTCATCCTACCGCAAAATCTTCGGAGATTCTCCCAGATTCTCCTCCTCTGCCTCCCGCATGGGCAGCGCGCCTCCTCGCTCCATCCCGGGGCTCAGAGCCATGGCTGCGCCGCGCCACAGCGCGTCCTCAGTGGGGATGTACAGGCGGACCGGACGGTCCTCTGCTGCCTCCTCTATGGTACCCACCGGCTCTCTTGATCTAAGCCAAACCTCTGTGGTCAACAGCGAGTTCAAAGTGATCAGAACCAACGAGAAGGAGCAGCTGCAGGTATGTGAGACTAAAACCAGCTGCAGAAAAGGTTGGAAACACTCTTAAACCTGTTCTTAAAACAGTTTGGGTTAATAATCTAAAAATCTAGAGCCCAAGGTGCTGACTAGTTTGTGTATGAAATGCTTTCAGTTTTGACCTTTAATTCACAGGGCTTTTATATTATTAAATAATTATATTATATTATTATTATAATACTGAAATAACTATTTAGTATAAATAGAAGTTGTCAAATTCAACTGTGAAATGATTTAAAGTTTGTATAACCATATATATATATATATATATATATATATATATATAGTGGACCTTTGGGTTTTCATTTTTCATGTAAAGAATAAATACAGTATACTAGCTGTATTTATTTCTATATTTGGTAAGTAATCAAACTTTTAGAATGATGCTTTAATATATTTTGTAAGCGGCCACTTTTCCTCCCAAATATTTATTAATCAGGGACATATTCCACATATATTGGAATAGGGAGTATGTTGACGTTTAATCCAAAGCTTACTGCTCATGTCTTTTTAGTTTCACTACTTTCAGGGGGGAAACTAAATGCACACATTGGTGTCCATATCGGACTTAATATGGAAAGTAACAAAAAAGGGGCTTCTATTAGAATTCTGTCATTTTGCTGTTTTTTTTTATTTACAAAATCCCAAAAAGGAAACAACAATTGCGATGACTTTGCATCCTGTTTCATACCAACTACAAAGCATGGTAGAGGAGGTATGGTGATTTAGGTTGATCCGACATCACATTACCTTTAATCTGTCTCCTCTGCATGCCATGACAAGGAGGAGTTATCTGTCTAAACACTAAAACCTGACAGGGTCATCAACAGAATAATTATCCAAAACACAGCATGAGATCTAAACCAGAATGCAAAATAATCCAGGTTTAGCGATGGTCCAGACCTCATCGTCTTTAAAGGAGAAGTGTGGTCAGCAAGGAATAATCAATGGATCATTATTTATACCTAAAAACTAATACATTCGCTGTGATTTAATTAATTTAGCGTTAATCGGTAAAACAATAATTTTTGTTGCAATCACTGAGTCTTGGAGCAGCTATTTTTTGCGCAAATATAGTAACACCTCAATCCTGACATCTAACGGGAGTGACGTCATGGTGCGGTAAGCCAGTAAATCAAGGGAGCTACTAGACACATCTGCAATCAACAACAATTATTTAAGATTGCCAGAGGACTTCAGCATTGAAATTTGTGAGAGCCATAATTAAACTGACAATGCCCACGTGCATGGCAGCTGGATGCTGGAATACATCGGGTAAAAGTGAAAAAAAAAGAGTTCTTTCACCTTTTCGATTCATGATCCTCCATGGGTTCCTCGTTGGATTGCCATCTTGAAGAGGGAGGATTTGCCATCGAACTTCTGACCAGGGAAAAAACACTTAATAAGTAGCCATCAAATTCGAAGATTTTTTTTCCAAAATTAATTGTACAATAGCATGTTGTGAAAAACACCAGATACAGCATTGGGACTTGCTCAACAGCCGATACCGCACCGTCATGTCACAAACCTGTAGGTGGCAGTAGTGCTCTGACAAACATGGATCTCCATTTATGTCTCCAGTAAAGCACATTCATATGAAAATAACTCTTAATAAAAAGATTTAGCATTTTTTGAACAGTATGTAATAATTTCATATTTAAAGTGCCTTTAGAAGTTTGAATTCTGAATATGACCAGACTTTTCCTTTAAAATACCATGGTGGGAATACCAGAAAAATGTGCAGTACAAGTGTCTAAACATCNGGGAGCCTCGCTGGAAAATCAACACCGGTTGCATAGTGTACCTTTAAAGGAGAAGTGTGGTCAGCAAGGAATAATCAATGGATCATTATTTATACCTAAAAACTGATACATTCGCTGTAATTTAATGAATTTAGCGTTAATCGGTAAAACAATAATTTTCGTTGCAATCACTGAGTCTTGGAGCAGCCATTTTTTGTGCAAATATAGTAACACCTCAATCCTGACATCTTCCGGCAGTGACGTCACGGTGCAGTAAGCTAGTAAATCACGGGAGCTACTAGACACATCTGCAATCAACAACAATTATTTAAGATTGCCAGAGGACTTTAGCATTGAAATTTGTGAGAGCTATAATTAAACTGACAATGCCCACATGCATGGCAGTTGGATGTTGTAATACATCGGGTTAAAGTGAGAAAGAATTTGTTATTACACCTTTCCGATTGATGATCCTCGACGGTTCCTCGTTGGATTGCCAACTCGAAGAGGGAGGATTTGCCATCGAACTTCTGACCAGAGGAAAAACACGTAATATGTAGCCAAAAAATGCGTAGAATTTTTTTTCAAGATTACTTGTATAATAGCAAGTTGTGAAAAACACCAGATAAAGCACTGGGACTTGCTCAACAGCCGATACCACACCGTCATGTCACAAACCAGTAGGTGGCAGTAGTGTTCTTTGAAACCTGGATCTCCATTTATGTCTCCAGTAAAGTCTCAGGTAAAGCACATTCATATGAAAAATTACTCTTAATTAAAAGATTTATCATTTATTGAATAATATGTAATAATTTCATATTTAAAATTGTTTTAGAAGTTTGAATTCTGAATATGACCAGACTTTTCCTTTAAAATACCATGGTGGGAATACCAGAAAAATGTGCAGTACAAGTGTCTAAACATCTAAATAAGCTAAAGTAAAATAACGACAATCAAATTTCCTTTGATTGAGCACCTCACTGATAGATTGATTATTATATCAGGAGTCTCTGCAAAGCTGTTCAGAGGCTGAAGCTGATTTCAGCCTTTAAAATTAAGGCAGCATGAAACAGTCAGTCCTGAAGTTTAGCCTACAGCGTCTAAGAATGTTCCCAGAGATAATACAGGAGGCTCAGTAATCCGGTCTCGTTTTATCTCCTGGCAAAGTGAATTAACTTGTTCCCTTAACGTCCTTTGTCTCAGTTAACATCACGACACAAACACAATTTTTTTATTTATTGAAGAAGTAAAATGGTTTTGATTATGATTAAGTATTTGTTTCCCCATGCAGGGTTTAAATGACCGCTTCGCTATGTTCATTGATAAAGTCCGGCTGCTAGAGCAGCAGAATAAGGTTCTGGAGTCGGAGCTGGTGAGCCTTCGGCAGAAACATGGCGAGCCCTCCCGCGTTGGTCTTCTCTACCAGCAGGAGATGAGAGACCTGCGCTCCCAGCTGGAAGAGCTGAACAGGGACAAGAACCACATACTGATTGAGAGGAACAACATGGAGGACGAGCTGCAGGTAATACTAAACTGTTCTGTTGTGTTTTATGTATATTTAAACCAGTGCAGAAACTATAGTTTCCAAATCCTCCTTTGTCCTGTCTGTCACCCCTTTCTGACCTCAGAAGCTCAGTGTGAAGTATGATGAGGAGGTGAGGGCACGGGAGGAGGCAGAGCAGACACTGAGGTCTTTCAGGAAGGATGTGGATGATGCAGCAGCTGTTCGCTTGGACCTGGAGAGGCGCCTGGAGTCGCTAACGGATGAGATCTCCTTCCTAAAGAAGGTGCATGAGGAGGAAATGGAGGAGCTCAGTACCATGATGGAGGCGCAGCAAGTCTCTGTGGAGCTTGAGCTCGCCAAACCTGACCTAACCTCTGCACTGAAGGAGATCCGCAGCCAGTACGAGTCCATCGCCTCCAAAAACCTGCAGTCGGCAGAAGAGTGGTTCAAGAGCAAGTTTGCGAGCCTTAGCGAGCAAGCAACCAGGAGTAACGAGGCCATGAGGGCGAGCAGGGAGGAAATCAACGAGTTCAGGAGGCAGCTGCAGTCTAAGACTGTCGAGATAGAGACCCTGAGGGGTGCCAACGAGTCTCTAGAGAGACAGATCACCGAGATGGAGGACACGCACAATGCTGAGGTCACAGCCATGCAGGCAAGTATCCACTTTTCTCTTAATCTTCTTGAATTGTCATTATTCCAACAAGTTCATTTCATTAAAGAAACAGGCTTCATGTTAGAGTTCAATTCGCATTTACTTAAATACTAAAGTTTGCTTTCATTTTGTGGCATAAATATCCAAAATGGGTATCTCCCTGTTGGGAACGTCTTCAGCTCAGCCAGAAACGTCTGGACCAGTTAACCTTTGACCTGAAGTCAGATCAGCAGGTCCAGCAGATTCTGCAACACTTCTTCCCCTCCGCCATCAGACTGCTGAACTGTTGAAAAAACTCTAAATCATCTCACAGACTCTGCATCACACTGATAACACCAAACCAAAAAATACTGCATATTTGCACCACAAACATTAATGCACTGAACTTCCATATAATTTTTTTGCATGTTTTTTCTCCCACACCGTTTACATTTGATTACTGCTGAACTTTATGGAATTGAAATGTTCATTTACTGTCTGAAAAGCTGTACTAAACAAAGTTCAGTTTTATATACCCTCAGTGTATACAAAATTACAGTAAAAGTTGTCTATGTCTAAATCTAAGATCACAAAAACACAATGGAAAACTCCTCCATGTGCAACTTTACAGCTATAAATGGGAGGCTCAACATAAAGAGTCAGGAAGCACGAGTTTAAGTAAAATTATTACTTTGCAAACCATAAAAAGGTTATTAAATACAGCCCACATTATAGAAAAAAACAAAAACAACCCTAAATTACATGACTTGCATTCGTTAGTAATAAACCTGAAAGTAAAAAACTCACATTTCATGGGTCTAGATCAAGGTGGCGGGTAATTTGTCACAAAAAAGAACAAATCTTAAATAATTGATGCACTATTTAATCAAATTATTTTCCTCCTGATTTGTTGTGAGTTGTGAAGGCGATGAATAAATGAGATAAACTTCTGACAGAAATGTCTGATTCAAGTTCAAGGTGAGGTCAAGACTCAACCGTCAGTGTTCGAAGGATTGTGTGACTGTGAGACGACTGAAGTGAAGCTTCATGTCTATTGGATTAATCTCCGACCTGCTATATATGGAAAAGCCATCTGGCTTTCGCTGCCTTCTTACAGAAGGACAAAGTTAAGCCTTGAAGGCTTTGGAAGACAAAAAGGAAATCCTCTAATAAACTTTAGAAGGCTCCTTTAAAAGCATCACAATACAACTCAAAGCATCAACTGTTGTGAGGTTGAAGGTTCCCCTTCCAGCAAGAGAAGGAGTCTGAACATATAGCCAGAGCTACAATGGAACGGTTTCAATCAGACATATTAATGTTTTGGAACAGCCCAAAATCCAGACCTACCGTAAATCTAATTGAGATTCAACATCAAGTCCTAAAAAATGATGTGCCTGTAAAAATAAAGTACTTCAAAGGGGAGTGAATACTTTTCCAGGGTATCTTATGATACAGAAAAGCCTAAAATATCAACATCAAGGAATGATTTTTCAAACAGATTAAACTACTCTCTCATTATCTACAGGATACCATCAGCCACCTGGATACTGAGCTGAGGAACCTGAAGGGGGAGATGGCTCAGCACCTGAGGGAGTACCAAGACCTCCTTAATGTCAAGATGGCTCTGGATATCGAGATAGCTGCTTACAGGTGCCAATTTAAGAAAATACTTGTTTTTCACCTGCTGAAAAACAGAGGAAATTTGTTAATTCTTGTTTAAAAGTTTAGCTGAGGCATTTCACATCATTCAACAGGAGTTATTCAGAGTAATGTCTATAAGATATATAAGTCTAAACTTTCCTTTGCATTTATTGGTCTGTTATAAGCTAAGTACCCAGTTGCTATTATTGGATTTAGGAGGGAAAGTAGGCAGCAGGAGAGACTGATAAAAGTACTTGGTCCACTCATCATCAGTGGGGCGACCTCTATTAGAGCAGGAGATGGTTAAACACTATAAAGTCCTCACCCACTTCGAGCACTTGATCCTAACAAGCTTAGCCATTCCTGCTAGGAGAATATGTAAACAATATGTCAATTCAACGATAAATCAAAAGTGTTCAAATCAGCCGTTTAGGGCAGAGGTCTGCAACCTCTGGCTCTGGAGCTGCTCTTTAAAAATTCGACAGTGGCTCTTCAACACTAGCTAGTTTTTTGAATAATAGAAATATGAACAAATGCACATTTTAGCATTTTCTTAGCTGACTAATTGCAGTCAGACTAATTAAATTTCCCAAAAACGAACTCAACCAAATTTAAGTGGAATCTTTCTAACATAATGGAATATACAAGATTATTGTCGAATATATGTTCACTTTTCCTTTTTTTTTTAAAAGGACACATGATGTTTGCAGCTTTAAACAAGTTTTTATTAGCAGGACTGAAGACATATATTTTTTTTTTCAATGTAAAAAATTACTTGACATAATAAAAAAATATGTTTTGACCATTTTATGAGGGGAATTAAAACAGAATTTAACAAACAATATTAACAATCTATAGAAAATGTATTCCTTTGCTTTTTTGCACGTTTTTTTTTTTTATTAAAACCTAAAATTTGAAATGTTATTTAAAAAGTATAAATCTCCTGTGCTAGTATATGATATCTTAAAAAAAAAAAAAGAAGTGATATAATTTTTGTGGTTTCAAATAGGTTTTTTTATCTGGACAGAACTTAAAAATGGGTCTTTATGTTATAAGAGTTGCAGACCCCTGGTTTAGATGGAAGGGAATATTACATTTTCTGTCTATTTGAGCATTTGCTCAGGTGGTATTACCTGTTAAGGTGGATGATTTGGGCAGGTTGTCCAATCCCTTGGCTACAAGAAGTACTATCCTGAACACAGCAGCAGATCAAAGGATATTGCAACAGTGCAGACAAAGTCCAGACCTCAGTCTGTTGTGTAGGGACCTTAAGACAGCTGAGAGGCAGCAGATGTCTTAAACGACTTTCAGAAGCAAAATTGCAAAAGAAGTGGAGCAAAATCCCTTCCTTAGGAAGTGAGGGACTGATAAAATCAGACAGGAAGTAACTGCAGAGAGTTTCTGCTGCTGAAGGAGGTTCCACAAGCTGCTGAGTCATGGGATGTATTTTCCTCAAACCACATCTTTGTATTCTGAATTTAATAATTTGGTAGAGAATCGTTGCTTGTCTGATTGCTGTTTTAAAATATTTTTTCTATTTAGGTGATGATTTTTTTTTTACAGAAAGTGAGAAAGTAACTACTATTAAGGAGCAAGCTGAACGTCTGGTGCTTAAACCTGTAATATAGAACTAGTTATTTGTAAAAAGCAGATGTTATTATAAGAAAATCTGCTTTTTATATCACTGTTTTCATGTTGTTATTTTATTACATGTTTCCTTTATGTTTTTAGAAAATTACTGGAGGGGGAGGAGACTCACTTTAACTCTGGGATGTCATTCAGCTCTTCAAGCTATGGCTACCAAACCAGAGGTGCTACCGAATCGTTCAAAAGCAGCCAAAGAGAGAAAGGAGGAGCCGCAAAGGAAAGCTTCAAGGACATCAGCGAAGACAAAGAAGAGGCTGACATTAATTCCAATAACTGAACATCTGGAGGGAGAGCAGATTTGCTCTGTATCAACAGCTCCAGTCAGTTTACACCAACTCATGAGCCTCAATGCTACAGTTCATCTTTAAATCAATAGTTTGGTGGAGATGTTTGAATTTATTGAATGTCTCTTAGCATGTTTAATCACATCAGCACTATTTCTGTAGCCATTAGCAAACTTCTGGGATAGTTCTGATGGATGTGTTTGGTTGTACTGACTTAGAGAGAGACGGAAAAAACCTTCAAGCTTGTTCTAAATGTGAAACATCCTTCGTGGACGAGCCAAATGTCCTCTGGAGAAATGTTTCAGACAAAGACCAAAGTTACTGGCCACACTCACAAGACCAGATTGAGCACAGACAAGCCTAACATCTGTCCAGCACGGTAGTGGCTGCATCATGGTGTGGGGTCAGTTTACTCCCAGTGCTATGCACAGATAGAGACTAACAAATTGAACTGAATATATTGAACTTTGCTGCTAACCAACAGTTAGATGGGTGAATGTTGATGGTATGGTATCATGATTGTTATAAGCTCTGCCCTCCATCAGGAAGATGTTTCAAAAATACACAGCAAACCTGGTTTTGGAATAAACCAACCAGGCTGGTATTATCTAAATGATTCAGAACAACTGAAGATTATTGGATTCAATAGTGGATGTGTAAACTTAACACTGGAATCATGCTGGGAGTAGAACATAAAAAAAAATTTAAATAAAAAATAAATACAAAAATCAGAACAACATTAGGCCAAAATAATTTTAAGTTGACACGTACTCTGCACTGCATGATACAGAATGATACATAATGATCAATATTCTGCATGACTCTCTTCTCCACAGCCAGAGGGCTCAGCTCTCTGGTTGCTCACAGTGAAGGAACGTAGAATAAAAAAGCAATATACAGATAAAATAGGCAGATATAGAGAATGCTCTTCAGTTTACTGTAGCACCAGTTAACAACAAACATGGTCTCAGGGTTTTTTGCAAAGAAAGGACAATTTAAACCAATCAGCAGACGAATTCAGTCAGGTACATACATTCCCATCGACCATCATTATCAAACTATGCAGTCAAGTCCAATTTATTAATAGTTTTATTTCATTTGTATTTATTTGACAATTAATTCAAAGTTTTCTGTCTAAGGAAACACATGAGATTGTGTTTAGTCAGACTTGCAATATTCACTCCTCCTGGATGAGCTTGTAGCAGCATTAGACAGTCGCTTGTGTCGACTTTGCAATTATTGCTCATTCCAAACATGCATGTAGCGACAGTGGAGAGGAAAACTGATCTTCAATAGGAAGAAACGTTCAGCAAAACCAGGCTTAGAATGAACAGCCATCTGCGATGGCAAACTAGAGTTCCAAAACACAGAAGCAATGACCTAGGAGTACATATTAAAGAGTTAACTGTTAACTAATTGTTGCTCCTTCATCTAGCATATAACTACAGCTAGGCAGGTAAGCATTGAGTCAGTTTTTAAGTCTACTGGATAATAGAGCACATGGTCTCAGCAAAAACTCAGCCATTAGCGATTACTGTGAGATATACCAATGGGATTACATTTTATTTTTTTAACCCATTGTCAAAATGTCAAAATAAATAAATATTGGATGATATAACATTGGAGGATGACTATTCTTGAATCGTGACTTATTCTGAAAGGCTTCTTTGGGACTCATGAGAAATTCTAAATTTTGGACTTATGTTTGTTTCTTTTACAGCTTTCAGGTTAAAATGTTAACTGATATTTCCTTGCTCATAAATGATCATTTTACACTTACATCTCTGCCTTTGAAAAAATAATTCAAACCTTTCTAGATATGGATTTGTTTTTCTCCAGACGGCAAACTGCAGGTCATCCTGATAGATGCTTGTCAGGTGAACCAACAGGTTCAGAAGGACTGAAGAATAATTTATGAAAAATGACACATTTTACCCACTTTAAACATCTGGCTTTTAAAAATACTTCAGACAAATTCATTTTACTTTGTCAATTTAAATGAAGAGCATTTGTGGGCTCAAAGGTGGGGCAGGTGTTAGTGCTCCTGTGCTCTTCCAAGAAGGTTGTGGGTTTTTAATCCTTGGGTACCTTTTTCTATGTAATGGTGGGGAGATTCCACCAATCCATGCATCGGCGGGATCTCTCCACATACCACCTCACAAATCAAAAACACGAGTGCAACTTTAATCGACTGCCCAAAATTTTCAAAAGTCTGTGGTTGTGTGTCCCTGGGCTGTCCTGTGGTGGACTGGTTCAACACACAAAAAAAATACACTTCAACTGGCATTCTAAAGCCAAAAGTACAAATTCAAATCTTGCTGCAAATAAAACACCATCTAGTGGACAAATCTTAAAAACGCCATTTCTTGTTTGCCAG